TTGATAGATATTTCAGAGAACAGGTGCTTCGATACAGATAATCAGAGTTGGAAAGGACCTTGTAGGTCATCTAGTCCAACCCCCCCACCCAAGCGGGAGACCCAACACCATTTCTGACAAATGGCAGTCCAATCTCTTCTTGAAAGTCTCAAGTGATGGCGCTCCCACAAATTCTGAGGGCAAGCTGTTCCATTGGTTGATTGTTCTCACTGTCAGAAAGTTTCTCCTTATTTTGCAAAATAACTAGGCCATAAGATGTTCTATAAGGTTTTGTACCTCATGACAAGCACTTTCCATAGTAGTAGACAAACAGGCAATGCCTTCAGATATGTTTGTATTATATTATCATTTTAGCATTCTAAACATGCCCCTCCTATACAGCACACTGTAATAATTCAGGCCTGAGATTATTTATGTATGGATTTTTAATAGCATCATATTATATATGTACTATTTAATAGCACATGCTGAGGCCTTACTGACACTCTAATATTCTGTAATAAAATTATAATATTAGCGCCCATAAGGCTTAGGCATATACACAGAGTGGAGCCCCACTAAATGCAAGATAAAAATGCTCAAAAATTGAGCATACTTGTAATTTGAAAACGAAGATATCCTATATTATTGGACAGAGAACATCCAATTCAACATATGTTGTATTATATTTTTTCAATTATGAAATTTACTTGCCACAAGAGAAGAAACAAATATCATAATTTTTTAAAAATGTTATACTATGAACTAGATTGCTACTGTTTTAGAAAATGAAAGCAAAATTTGTTTCTCTCCTTTAACTAATATAAAAGGTGACTCTTAACTTTTTCTTAAGTGTCAATATCTTATAAGAAATTTTTATACAAGTTTTAAAATTCATATTCATTCACTAATATATCTTCTTTATTTTATTATTAAATAATAGCCTGTAATATCAAGTTGTTTAAATAACAGATAAATTTATAAATCTCTTCTCTTTCAATTAAAAACCCTTTCTAAATAGCGATACCTGAACTAAATACATGTGTGAATTTTGAAAGATGGAAAGGAATTATGGCTGTAATTCAAAAGCCTATTTTTATAATTACATAAATAGCAGTAACTCATTGATATTCACTCTTGAGTTTATTTTCTTAGATTTTTCCTGAAGTCCTGGCTTTAGTCTATATATTGCCTCCCTTTTCCTTACAAGAGACTAATCCATGCATTTGTCAAGGCTTGGCCCTGCAAATTAGAATATATGGTACCATATTACAAAGTAGATTTAATATGGCTTGATCATCTATGATGGATTTAATGTTTTTGCAATACAATGTGAAAAAGTTTGTGAAAACATTCCTTTCTATCCTGCACTAAGTCAAGGATAGACTAGAAGTAGGTCCCTGTACTAGGTGATAAGTTGGGCCACATGACCTCAGAGATCCTTTCCAATCCGTACATTTGATATATTCTATGAATAGACCTTGAAAAGTTCATATATTTTTTTCAAAACCAACTTATTAAAAGTATGGTTGCCATAAAGTAAATTTAATGATATATTTTAAAAAAGTTTATCATTTTTAAAATGCAATCTGAATATGCATCAGCATACTGCATATACATCTTAACTTGGTGGAAGGTAGCCTTTAAACAATCTAGGTCATATAATCTGATGTGAGCATGCACAAAATCACAAGCAAACAGCTATTTTGTCCAGTAGCACAACAAAACACAGGTAGAAGCTGATTTTCCAACAAAGGAGCTTGGCTTCTAGCCATTACATCACATTGGTGGAAGAGATACAAGAAGTTGATCCTTGATTTTGCTATAAATAGCACTTGCATTTAATATAATAGTATTTAGAATTCTTTTATATTAGTTTCATTATTTTTTCTAAAACAAACCTTGGATGTTTTTCAGGTGTTTCCAATCCAATTTTCCCAGAGAATCATGGGAAGGGACTTTTTAAGAGAGCAGGATGTAATATATAGATTTGAATGAAGATTTGATTTTGTGGTATATAGGAATATATTTCCATATACAGAACTACAGTATATATGTGAGTTTAATTGTAAATTAAAATACCAAAATATATGTCAAAAAGTATGAAAAATGTTATCAAGAGTGTTGTGAGTACATTTACAAAAGCAGTGACTGGCAGTAATGGAGGAGTCATAAATAAGTTATGGGGAAATGATATTAAAAGTTTTTTTTCATTATAAATGTAATACAAGTATATCAACAGAAAAATAAAACCAAGTAATTTAAACAAACATTAATATAGTTGGAACAGCTAATAATACTGGATTAGAAAAATAATCAGTTTAGTAATCTGTTTCACAAAAGACATCAAGCTTCTTATTTCAATTAAATTCTGATGTATGATATGTGTTTATTTTCACATAATTTTGTTTTGTAATCTTAAAATGTGGAATTTCAGAAAGTCACTTGGACTTTCTAAGAAAGTTTCTCCAACTCACAGTAAAAAAATGATTTCTTGCAGCTGAAGAGACACAAAGCTAATTCACACTTGCAGTTTACAAGTCCACTAATCCACAATCAGATGAAGTGTGAACTCAGCTGCTCAGGAATAATTGTCCCCTAATCCTTAGCAATTTGCACTTCATTAATTAAGTGAGAATTAATCCTTACTACTACTATCCTGATGAATTGCATGAAGGGATTGCTCCAGTTCTGATGCCTCCATCCTAAATAACAGAAATGGATCTAACAGGATAATTTTAGCCTTTGTTGTTATACACTTTCTTTGTGAAAGACAACATGCATTGTAGAGATCATATTTGACTCACAATGTTCTAGGTATTTCACAGCAATGGATAGCACTGATACAGAATATACAAATCGAAAATAGTTAAAAAAATAGTCATTAAGGATAAGCAATATACTTCCTGACAATGTGTTAAATATGCTCATTTCTCTCCAAGGAACTGATGGTGAGATAATACTCCATTAACAAATGAAAAGAAGTGCTAGTATCTGACTGCTCCATTCATACAGTAATATCTTCAAGAACAGGGCTACTGGGACCAAATTCAGTGAGTTTAAGATAAGCAAAGCACTGAAGTAAACAAGGAACTTTCTAATCAATAAGTAAATGAACTTTTATTAATATTTTGATGGAAACTACAATTATTGTCATATGCAACTACTTCAATAGACTTTATTGATCTGTTATATTATTGTTGTTTTTATTGTTACATTTTGGTTTATTGGTAAACATACAGTACCGTACACTAATATACACTATTTACAAAAGGGTGAAATTGTTTTTGGAAATCAATATTAATAATCAGGCAATTTGTACATATTTTTAAAATTATTTTGAGCTTTTTTTAGCTTAAGTACAATTGTACTTACAAAAAATACATCTCCTCTCTTTGCTTCTGTATAGGAGAACAGAATGATCTTAAGACTTTCTGATTTTGGCTAGAAAAAAAATTCTGACGTCTATTCCATCAGACAGCAAAGAATTAGAATTTTCTATATTTGCTGCCATCTAAACTGCTTAAATATGGTCTGCTTTCTGAATGACACCTATTTCATACATTGGTCAAATTCTAGTAACAAAATATTTTTATTCTATGTTTAACATTTAAGATTTTCTATTAATCTTCCACCTGCATTGTATCCTCCTGCATTATATCAAACATATTATATTTATCAGGATTTTAAAATACAAATGCCTGCTTTATGCAGTTTCAATTAAATTTTACTTACAAGTTTTCTTTATATATGAATAGCCTTATGAATCAGATCAAATCTCAATTTATTTCATGTAGTGGACAATCAGAAGCCTCCAGCGGATTTAGAAGCAGGATGATGCAGTTCCAGTGATACCCAACTGAGGTTGTCAAAACTAATGAACCTGACCTCCATTACATTAATTTCCTTTTAATGTTATCCAGGCTAGTAGTGATTATCACATCAGATTAATTATGCACTATTTGAATATGTTTTTCTTTGGTTTATTCTAAAAGCCTTTCTGCCAGTCACTGTCTCTCATTCCAACTCACCTCACAGGGTTGTTGGAAATTAGGAGGAGAGAAATATTAGGTATTTTGTTCCCTTGAGTTACTTATGAAAACGTATGAAAAGGTGGGATATAAATAAATGAGAAAGTTAAAGAATATCAATAAATTATGTTTATACCTTTTATTATCAACTATCAAACCAGCACTTAATAAATACCCCACAGCTAGCAGGTGTTCAAGGAACAATGAAGGCTTTGGAAATTAATGTTCAGATATCATGATGTGTGTATGTCTATAGAGTTGAGAAATATGCAGGCAATGGCTTTCCTTGTGATACTTTTAATTAGAAAGAAAGAAAACAAACTGTCTGCATGGATCATAGACAAGTTAACTTTGGCTGTCACCTGAAGTACAAATGATCAGGCTCAAATTACAATATTTTGAGAAGTCTACAATGTTGCAAAAGAGAAGAAGATGACTAACAGAAAAATATATGGTCTCAATTATAGCAGTGATCAGTGCATATCATCCTGGGGAAGTCAATGTATGGGGTTACTAATTGTCAACATCAACTTTATAGATCATAATCAATCAAATCAATGCAAGTATTTACTATACATACTTCAATCATTTACCCTCTCATTCACCCTTTTTTCTTTATCTCAAATCTCCAAGCCCCATTCTAACCCCAGCTCCTGCCAACTTTACACTTTGAAAGCATTCAAATGCAAGTAGGTAAATAGGTACCAGCATTCCATGTGCCTCCATGTATAGTCATGCTGATAATATGACCATGGAAGTGCCTTTGGACAACACTGGCTCCCTTAGTTAAGAAACCAATATGAGCATTGTCCCCTGGAGTCAAACATGATTGGACAGGGGAAGCCTTTACCTTTATCTTTACCTTAGATGTAGGACACTGATGTGAATTGGTGATCCAGAAAAATTTGAAAACATCAAAATGCTATTCAGTAAACTAGTAATCTCCTGGTGGCAAACAACTAGCTTATTTCAGGAACAGATATTGCATACCTGCAGAAACACGTGGGCAATCAGGTAGCATGGACTCTACTGATGTATCCAGAGGTTCTGAACTTGATACCCAATTACAGCAATTCTGAAATTAAAGAGAACTTTGAATTATAAAAAAACCTTAGATTTTTTTTTAACCCTATTGCAGAAGCTTAATCATAGAGATTGTAATGTCACGACCAAAAAAATAAACTGGTCTTATAATTACATCCACAAATATTTTCTCTTACCTGGCAATGAAATTACCATGGAAGTAGCATTAACAATAAGAACTTTCCTTTCATAAATCCCTAGATCAGCTGCCGCAAGTGCTTGGCAAATATGGGTAACTATATAAATTTGATTAATAATAAATAAATATATTAAATCTTCCTCAAGGATTTAATATATTATACATGGAATTAATATGAGACACTCCTGAGTAACATCTAAATAATGGAGAATAATTATTTTATTGTTCTCCATTGGATAGATCTCACTCAAGTACTGTGTCCAGCTTGGGACATCACACTATTAAGGGGAAGATGTACAAAATGGAACAGGTAGAAAGAGGATAACCTGACCCTTGGAATTTAAGTGGTATCAAAAGAGATGGAAAAAATTGGAAATACTTTGCCCTTGAAAATAAATAAATACTGAGGGGAGTCTATCATGCTTCAGATATCTTAAAGATGCATTAGTTCAAATAATACATCCTAATTGGATATCTGTCTTTTTCTATACTTATGTAAAATTAGTATGGTTAATTGGGCTAAAACTTTATTAAAATGGAACTGACTCAAGTCATACATAAAATAAAAGAGAGAGAAATGAAATAGGTTATGGGAAATAAAATATGAATGATATTATGAATAATAAATCAGCATGAATTACAAATTATGAATCTATTAATTGCTTATTTCCTAATTAAGTCTTTTACTTTTCAACTTCCAAATTTAAATATCATAGTGTCTTCTCCAGAACTATTACTTTTACTTTTCATAAATAATGATTGTCAAATAAAATAATCCACCAAGTTTTTGTTAAAATATGAATATTTGATTTCATTTTTCTACAATTAATTAAATACTTATAATAAAACTTGAGGAATAAGAAAGAACTAAATACATGCATTCCATATAAATAATGGGTGATTGTCCTTATGATAAAAAGCATGTATTGTATATTTTTAAATGTTTGCTGCCACAATTGTGCACTAAGGAATCCATCCTTGAAAGATTCTTGATTGGTAGATCAAGTGTCTTATTTTAGCTTCTTAATTCATTCTGTCTGGAAGAAGATGTCAGATGTGTTTAGGTGAGGAGAGAATTTCTAAGTCATCTCCACCAATAAAGTCAGAGCCATGAGTTTTGAAAAGATTTGTCAAGACAATTCTACTGTTCTGGGACCAGAGAGAGGGGGAAGAACATGAAGAAGAGGTGCTGTATGAGATTAGAAACTGTTCACAGGCATTGCATATTTTGTAAGAAACACTAGATCAGTAAAATGATTGAACTGTGCAAAAAAAGCCAGGAAAGCATTAAAAATATATAACTGGCTAGTGTATTTGTTATCTTTGTACCTAATTGTGTGATGGTAATACTTCTGCATTTTATGAAGACTTTAAAATGCACATTTGCAGACCAGTTTTTAATTAACACCAGAAAGTAGAATTGGAATTTTTATGAGCTATTATATGTTTGACATAGATAAAATTAATATTTCTACTGATATAACATTACATCAGAGAATTTAAGAGAACACCAAAGATTTCAACAAAATTAACTTACTTTATCCTATATACAATGAGCCATTGGTTATAAGAATTAAGTATTTCAAATGCAGACTGAAGATACGAAAATGGAAAATTTGTTTTATCAGTCATCACAATGTCTAACAAAAATTTAAAAATAGGACTTCTACTGGCATTAAAATATGTATGCTGTGAGGTAGATAGGTAGATAGATGCAACGAAAAAATGCTATTGTTAACTATTCATTCTTTCAGTAACAGCAATTACTACTGCATGTACAAAGCTACTGAGAGAAAAAAGAATTATTATTCAATCTCTCAATCAATGTAATAAAAATATACCCTGATGGCATGACGTAGTTTAGAAACACATCTAAAATTCATGTAATAGAACACTGCTTAGATGAGATTCTTTGAGTATCCCATCCATATTTTAATTCACTAGTTTCTGAAAATCAAATCAAAGGTAATGGATTGTTTTATTTAAATGTATTTCAGTAACAATTAATTATTAGGTTAAAATGGGAGATGTAAATTGTAATGCTTTGCTCCTGATAATATATATTCAATGTTTTGAATTTTCATAATATATTTCTTTTTCTCAGCAAGCTTTTCAACTTTAGTATTTTACTCAATTGCTCAAAAAAGATAAATACAGAAAACTTTGTTATTGGTATTTACTGGAAATATAAAGAAAAAAAAACCTTGCAAAATGAAGTAAATATTAGATTTCTAATGAGTTGCATTTTCAGGGTAGCATTTCCATATTTAAGAGTTAGAAAGTCATTTTAAAGAAATATTTTTATCAACCAATTCCCAAATGAATTTATGCTTTTTTGTTTATTTACTTGAATGTGCCATTCCAATCATAAAAGACTCTTAGCAGCTTATATTTCTTTTTATCCAGTAATATTAAAACTAAACAAAGAATAGTAGCAAAACAATGAACCTTACAGTTAGTGATCTATATGAAAGAAATGTTGAAGTGGTTTGCTTGTAAGAATAATGAATGAGAATTAACCCGCAAAACATGCACATGATGGAATAGTAGGATATTAAGAAGGTGGAGACTATGAAAATTATGATTGGATGGAATTAACAGTTTGCAATGTTAGAAAGGAATGAATAAATAATGTAAACTAGATTTATGTTAGATTTTCTCTTCTCTTCTGCATTTCTTTTCTTAATTATGTCATTTTTTCTGCACTCCAACTCCAACTAACCTAAACAAAATAGCATTATGGTAAGTAGGTAAGCATATATACCTTAGACATAATGTTTAGTGAAACTCTTTGATGATCAGAATTGGATTTTAACAATGATCTGGAGTTTGTATGAAAAATTTAAGTCCTGTTGGATGAATTGAATAAAGTTCATAGTCTCTTTATAACAGTCTTTATGTACAAGGGCATTAATGTCCCCATAAGAGAAAAGTGTAAAAGCAGAAGGAAGGAGGTGCTGCTTCTGATAATGAGAATGATAGTTGGCCAGTTTATGCACTTGGTTATCAGAATACATCCTTACCTCTCGCATCCACTCTCGAACAATTTTATCAGCTTCTTGATGCCACACGTTATGAACTGAATCTGTCAATGCCACTGCAGTAACTTTATTTTTTACTTCTGTTTCTCGCTGAATCATCTGTGGAAAATATAAATACAAAAATTAATTAAAACACGAAAAAACATCTAATGTAAATAGTCAGTGAACCACTTCTATTAATCTACAGTTTCACTGAAAAAACAAAATATTATACTTCAGGGAAAGTGGAAAGTATTCAATAACAACTTTTCCCAAGTTTTATTTCTGCATTGCAGAAAATACTATTTATATCCTACAAACTACAGTCTTACTGAGCCATCAATTTCATTTATTCACATTACTTTCTGGTCAACATGACTACCTTAGATGCTCAGAATCATTCTGGAATTATTTACTACTCAAATGTTAATTAAAATATCTGTTCACTGCTTCTCATGTTGGAAAACACATAGAGGTGTACAAGATGAAAACATTTATATGCACTGTATACTGCTATGAGTTATGTTTATAAAATATTGTAACTTAGCTTGCATGTAGCACTAAACCAGTTTATTTTTAGACACAGCATTTTGAGTATGTAGATCACAGATATTCCTAATAAATGCAGTTAACTTTTTTTTTTTCTTTCTATAGCACCCCTTGTGCTGTCCAGACAGTTTAGAGTTAATGGGATTTGGGATAGTTACTTAGGAATTGTGAGCTGTCCTCTTAAGGGAATGCATCATGGTAAATGTAGTTAAAGGTATCCTGGGAAATGTAGTCCATGTCACGTGACCACATCTGTAATCCTGATTGGTCACTATATTGACCCTTGTTGGGTTGGGGAAGGCTCCCTCACTCTTGCCTGAAACCACCATACTATACCATGCTTCAATCATCATGGGGTTGAGACCTTTTTATGTTTCTATACTACAAGACAGATACACAAAGGATTGGACATTAAGAAGAACTTCATCACAAATGTGAGTTATGAGGATACCTGATGCACCAATAAAAATACTTTGTTATGGATGTTTAGTGGAGTTGCACTGTCTGCTTTATACCATTCAGAGAATAATAAGCAGAACAGTAGAAAGATAAAATTAGTCTTGATTCCTGGAAGAAGTAGAAAAAAGCAGCTGGAGTCACAGTAAAATGACATTGTTTGATTTGAGTCTCCCTAAAGTAAACAAATTTGACTCTCTGTGATAAAGACAAAGATATGTTGAAGCCAGGAGTGAATGTGGAATGTATGTAGATCACAGATATTCCTAATAAATGCAGTTATTTATTTATTTTTCTTTCTATATCACCCCTGCTTCACTTTACTCCTGAAACAAGTGTTTTGTTTTTCAATAACTGTATAATTGGGTATTTTCCTATGCATTGATTGCAAAAGTTGACTAGGGAATTTAAATGCAAATATAGATATTTGTAATAATAAATTCAATCTATATGTAATAAAAGAATGAATAGACTATTGAATAATGTAATTGAATACAGTAGCAACAGTTGCTGTTTTTTTTAAATAAAAAAGTACAATTAAGCTTCTTGAACTTGTATTTTATCTTACCAATAACAAAAATGTATATTTTAATAGAGCTTTTAAACAGACAAAAAGAACAGGAAGAGAGTGCTTCCCAAGAGTGACACGTCAATCTCAAATCATGGGTATGATTATTGAGTGTTATCCTTAAATTATGGTTAATGAACTTACTCATGATGAGATAGAAAAAGAATAATTAAACTAAAGGAAGTATGACCAGTGTGATTATAACACATCAATTCTATATATCTTTTCAACGGTGGCTTATGTATTATCAACCCCACTCCCCACTCAAACAGTGAACTACAGAATATAAGATTAGAAAGCAAGATAAAGAATAAGAGAATGAAGGATTATTAAAATAAATAACATTAAAACCCAAAGCATCACAACTGGTATTGTGGACAGTATGACACTAAAAATATTTAATTTGCAAATTTTTTCCACTAGAAATCACTGAATTTTTCTTTTCAGCTAACTTAGCATTTTAATATTACTATTCTTTACTGACTATATCTATATTTTAAATATAATTTTAAACTACTACTTTTAAGACATGACACTAAAGTATGTATTTACCTAGACAACAATCAGTTTATGAAGTTGATATATTTGTGGTAACTGCCTAACGTAAGAGCAGATGTCTGTGGGTTTTATTTTAACTGGACTTCCTCACTATATAGTAGTACATGAGTTCTATAATAATTTTGTGCAATAATTGTACATGATTACTAGCTGTTGATCCAGTCAAGCTAAAAGACAGAATGTAGTAGCATCATAATTAAGAATATAATCACATTTTAAACCAATATTTTAAGAATTAGATTAGATAAAATGTCTTTCTAACCCAGCACTCAATTTTAAATATTTATCAGCCTAGTGACCTCAGAAAAATCCTGTACTGGAGATTATGTTGCAGATTATGTGGCATACAAATTATGCAGGATGGAAGGCAAAACTTTTATTACTTAAACAGTAATGGTTTAAAACCTGTTTTTGGTGCAGACAAATCATACATGCACTATAACTTAGAAATCCTTCAGCCCAGTGCTTTTAAGATTTAATTTTGACAGCCAAATTTTCTCATTCCTTACTTTTTCTTTGTCTGAATGAACAATTGGTACATTCTGAAGATAAAAAGGAAAAAAATAAAGTTATTAAATAAAGTTGTAGATGTTATTTTATAACCTGCAGCTCAGCTCTACACTAATTTTTAAGTAGCTTTCTAACTCTCATGACCAGGGGAAATGAAATCATCTACCAGTGGAACTAAAGCAAAAGTAAGTAATATTTTTGAGCTGCTGGGCATAACTAAAAAATGGAGAGCATGTTATAGATATGTAATTTGAAGTTGACACACTTCCAAACATATAACTGGAGAATCGCCTACGGACTTTGAAAACGGACAAGTTTGACATTTAACATGGAGGCTGGGCAAATAGAAGATACAGAAATGTATAAAATTTTATGAGGATTTAGTAAAGATATATTTCAGCTATGTCAGTTTAGTGTAGTGGTTAAGAATTAGTGGTTAAGAAAATTGGGAGATTGTGAATCTAATTCCTACTATAAGCATGAGGCCAGCTGGGTGACTCTTGGCCAATCACTTTCAGTTCTGGGAAGCAGGCTCTATCAAACAAACCACTCCCTGAATCCTGCCAAGAAAACTGTAGGGACATGTCCAGACAGTTGTCAGAAGGCAATACTGAATGGTAGGGCCACACACAAACTACAGCTACTATTATACCATCTCCTAAATCACAAGCAGCATATCTTAAACATCAGAAGACTTGCTAAGCATTCTTCTGAGGTTCCAAAATGTATCTGGTTGGTTACTCTTTGAAATAGAATGGTGGAGGAGCTAACTCTTGACCTGATCCAAATTCTTCTCAAATTCTTACAGATGTTTCTTGTAAATGGGGATGAATAATCAATTTTATAGGCAAAGAACTTTATAAACATATCAGAGTGTCCTACAGGACAATATTCACAAGCTTCTCTTTCTAGGAAAGAACAAGTAATTCTAACATGAGCTGCTGTATGCAAATCTGCAAGTGCAATAAACATTGAGAAGTGATCACTTGTTACTTTTTTATTATTCTGGTATACACCTGTATGTGTGTATGTCACTGTGTTTAGCCACATTCATTCTTTTTCTCTATAGGGAACATTTCAAAGTAGAAAAAAATAAGGAAGTAATCCTGTCCATCTTGTTGCCTCCCTATTTCAGAGGTCAACAAAGTACATGACAACATTGTGCTCAAAATTTCTGTTGAGAAACGTTTCTGCACTAATATGTCATACAACAGCAGTACTACAGATGCACAATAGAAATGTGCAACCTCATTGTGACTTGCATTGAACTCGAAGTACACACACACACACACACACACACACACACACACACATCTCTTCTACTTATTTGAACTGAATAAGATTTCAGAAGTAAGGCAAAATAAAGCAAAGTAGCAATGCTTAAAAGATAGTCAAATGGGGGACTTCTGTGACTGATACAAAGACCAAAAGTATTAAGAAAATTAAGTATAAAGAGATTGAAATGGGTTCACAGAAGGCAATAATAAAGTATGAATTCCATAAAGATGAAGATGATTACTATACTTTTGGTGAAAATACAGAGAGCGGTTGTAAGGTTGATAGTATTAAATGATCACATATAACACTAGGTTCCTTGTTGCAAGCAGCTTACCCATCTCTAGAATATCAAATCATATATATCACCAACATCACCAAAAGAGGAACACATCACTGATCCTCGTGAGTTGGATTAAGCACACTAATTCAAAGCCTGACAGGCTTAAGTAATGAGCATATGAAGGGCTCTAAATGGTACTTGCAGTATACAGCAGAATCCTAATAAAATCTTGAGATCACAAGATGAAAAAGCAAGGCATTGCTTTTGAATGGAAGAAATATACAGGTAAAGTATCTGTAGATAGTCCTAACAGGAAGGCTTGAAGTTGCTGGTAAGACAAGAACAATAATGGAAACAAGGCAATAATGGAAACAAGAATATATAAACAGCAAAGAAAGTAAATTAGGTAAAAGAAATAGAAGAACAATACTAATACAGTAAATATTGAAAATTTGTTGCAGTAAGAATAGCAAAGGAAGAAAAGAGAAAAACTACATTTAAGGACCAAAGGTAAAGTGGTGAAGGTCAGCTGGGGACAGCAAAGTCAGTATAATGCATGGTGGCAGGGTTGACAGAAGTGTAGATTGCAGGGAAGCCAAAAGAGCTCCTCTGTGAGAGAGATGGGCAGTTAATATATGTGATAAATTAATCAGCACATAAATAAATAAATGATAGATTAGATTAGATTAGATAGATAGATAGGGGTGGGGTGGGGTGTGGAGAGCCATCCCTTTAATTTATTGAGGTTGGGGCTGAAAAGGACCAAATCAGGAATGGCTTGGATCGGGAAGGGTCCTCACGTAATGACCAGTGGGATTCGATTAATGAAGGTAATGAAAAGTGCTGGGATTGCTGTAAATTCAGTCACGTGACATTATGCTTTATAGCTTCATTGCTTAGGAACTAAAATTCCAGTCCCAA